AGAACAGCACGAGCCGACGCGACGCTCACAGGAAAACACACTCCAGATCTCCGCCGTGATGCAGACTGACATCCGCGGTTTCATGAAGCTAGCGTTTAGCTGTGCATTATTAGCAGAGGCGGAGGTGGAGCACTTCTGAAGTCCTGGAGGCATGTCTGACTCGGAGTAAATCATTTATGCACACAGGCTTATTCTGACTAACAACTCAAGCTACGTTTCCAGAACGTTCTGCAAAGGTTTTCTCAAAGTTATGAATAAACGCTCTTCCTAACATTAACACAAGATATGCTCAAAGTTCTGTGCTCTTTAACTCTTTCCCTGCCATCGATATAGTTTCCCACGGTAGATGGCGCTATACACATCTACTAAAAGAGTGCAGAAACCTAACAGTGAAGAAGAAGAAGCGATAGACCACGATCCAACAGCATCAAAACTGCGTAACGTCAGAGCCCGTCTAACGGAGAGCCTCGGCCCGTTGTGGATCACCTTGGTTGCAGTTCATTAGATTTCCACTGGGGGTGATCACGGGCGAGAGCAGAATGAATGGGAGTCAATGGGGCTAAACGGCTAAAAGTGTCTCTTTCACCTGCTTGTTGTTAAATCAACATAGATTTTATTGTTGATTCCGCAAGTTCAATATAGATTATAGGCCAAAAGTCGAATGAACAAGTACTTATGTCCTTTTGATTTCTTACAGGTTAGGCCGTTGTTGGCTGGAAGACGCTAGCATTCTGCTATTGTGTGACGTCATCACAGTTTTGAACAGATTTTTAGATCAGATAAGTGAACTTAAAAATGCAGTTTTCAGCTGAGTGTGTTTTCTTAGCCCTCCCTTTTGAATGCAACTTTCAAATTACTTGACAAAAAATTACATCTTGAGAAAAGTGGATTTCTGTGGGTGAAACCCCATTGACTCCCATTCATTCTGCACTGGACCGCGAGCGCCCCCGCATGGACAGAGACGCGTTACTGCAGCCAGTCCACAACCTGGAAGTAACCAGACAGTGTCTCTCTTCAATTACACATTCTCTGGTAACGTCACACACATGAAGAGGAAACGACTGGACCGACACTGACGAACACACACGTTCATTCAAGTGTTGATAAAACAATGCATAAAGCATAAAATGTTTAAAGAGAGATCAGAGATTCTGTTTTTTCTTTTGATATTTTGCATGTTCAGATATTCATATTAATCTAACGTTTATAAATGTTACTTGTTTCTGAACGTTCACAGAAGCTCCAAAAGTAACATTCGCGTGTTGTTTGAAGATTATGACGTCGCTCTTCTAGCTGTAGTGAGTGTGTGATGTCACTGTTTGATCATAAACAACATCTGCACAGTTACGACTCGCCGTTCAGAGCAAACACTGAGATTTGCTTTAAAGAAATCGACTACAACTACACGAGCTACTGTAAACACTAACATTTACATAAACCCCGCCGCCGGGAACATGATTTATAGATTATCATGACAGAATATGCTAATCAGTGACTAGAAGATCATTAACTCCACATTAAATACATAAATTCATCAACTGACCGTTCAGAAATGTGCTGTTGCGTCCGCATGTCGTCACTTCCAGAGTCTCTCGTCTTTGTCCAACTCGGTTTCAACATAAAAGGCTAAAAGTTTTTGAAATGTTTAGTGTGTGTGTGTGTGTGTGTGTGTGTGTGTGTGTGGTCATCAGAACTGCTAACACAGATACACACACAAGCTGCTGTAGCTCCGCCCCCTGTGCTGGGAGCAGCAGCTCATTTGCATTTAAAGGGACACAGCCTCTCTTTGAGGTTTTTTCTTACTCTCAAAAAAATATCTGTGGGGTATTTTGAGCTGAAACTTTACACACACACACACACACACACACACACACACACACACAGGACATCAGAGACTTATTTGAAATCTTGTGAACAGGGCATTATAGGACCCCTTTAAACAGTTACAGCACTTTGCTGTGATTCTACTGTGATTCCCCTACAGCGGCACAATATAGTCCCGCTAGGGGCGGAGTCAAGCAAATCGCTGGTCTCCCATTGGCTCCTGCTAGTGACTGTGATTTGGCGTGGAGAACGGGAAAGCCACTCTTCTCGAAGGAGCAGATCTGAGGCGTTTCTCCTCCAGTGAACTCTCAGTCATCTGCTCCTCAGGCTTATATAATCCAGATCTGGCCTCATTTCCAGCGCTGAGAGACACTTCAACACTTCGGCACACACAGTCTGTCACAGAGTCGCTTCCAGCCGGCAAACTGCGAAGAGCTGGACGGGTTTCTCAGAACCTCATAGAACCAGCTCTGGACTCAAGGGGACTGTGTTAAGGAGACACCGGGGCTAGTTGTCACAAAGGCTGGAATTCAAGCGAATGTTGACAAACATCATATATATAATCAGTTTCACGACATGATATTATTGCGATAGTCCAGGACATATGATAAAAGGTTAACAAAAAATTATCTGTTGATTAAAATGCTAATTTTTTTGGTTTGAAATTACACTTCAATATGTAACGCTGGGATCAGGACCAATATTCAGAAGAAAAGATGATCCATAACCTTGATTTGTTGGTCAATAAATGAGCAGATCGGGCCGGATGATGAACAGGTGAGTGTGGAGTGATCATGATCTGATGCTGAATCTCTCCGAGAGAAACACTCGTCTCTCCTCCTCCGTCCACATGGATGATGAACGCGCCTGAGGACACTCCTCCAGCCTGAGGTGAGCTTTTAATGAGACACACACTCTTCTGCTAATGAGGAAAACGGCTTCAACTGTTTGTGAACTCTATGGAGGAATCTGCTCTACTTCAAGTCATATACATGCCCAGAATAAATCTGACTATATGTCAAACACTCAGGGCTAAAGGAAGAAAAGAGCATCTGATGCGGATGAGGTTTGATAACCGAGACGAAATAAAGCCACACGCTGTTTACATGAATGCATCTCTTCCATCGGTTCATAGTGTTCAGATCCACACGACTAATATAGCTGGAAATCAATTCAAATGAACAAAATTATTAAAAAAGTTTCAAAAAGAATGTATATTTAAATCAGGTCATGTTAGTCAGGCTCTCGTCAGTGCTGATCCTCCACCTATAGGAATACAACGCAGTTTCTCAGGAGCTGATTACTCTCCCGATCCTCCTGTCTATAACTCTGTATTATTTTGCGGACACCAGTCAGATAACCAGCGATTGAGTGAGGACAGTCGACTATCTCATCACTCCTGCGAACAGGCCAGAGCGAATTACAGTGCCTGACATCATACTCGCGAGTTCACACACCGCTTTAATGTTAGTTTTAGTGATCTCCGACTGGCGAAGTCGAACATCTTTAGTGCCGACATGAATAATGATCTTAGAGAATTTTACGATTAGCATTAGCCAGCACTTTTTTAAAATTTGCTGCGATGTCAGGCGCTCTGGCTCCCGGAAAACATGCGACTATGGTGGCTGGTGTCTCTATTTTCACGTTCCGAGTGATTGAATTTTTCTATTTGAAACGTAAGCAAAGAAGAAAACTGTCATGATATAGAACAAATAAATGGAAAGAAAAAAAGACATATCAGACTTATCAGAAAAGATTACATATCAAACGAAAAGATTAAAAGACTTACATATTTCAACTGTTTTTAAAGTTTTCTTGGTACACGAGTTAGAGATAATCCCAAAGCATAAGCGTTTCTAGCGACGTGCACTGTGACGTAACGACGTCGTTCCCAGTGGAAAAACAAACAGGTTCTGAACGGGTTCGCAAGCTGAACCAACTCCGAATCAGCACCAGTTCCCAACCAGTTCTTTTTGGGTGGAAAAGGGGAATATGATAGGCACATCCAAAACACTAAAGATCTAGCACTCTTACTATCCTCAATTAAAGTTTGGATGCGTGTCTTTAACTCTGAAATCTTCTCTCCTTGCATTTATCATAAACTAATTGCCATCGGAGAAGGCTATAAACATGTGACATATGACACACGTGAAAATAACAGGACAAGATAACATTACTCACCGTGTTTGTTGACTGATTTACTCACCGCGTTTGTTGACTGATTCCTGGCCTTTTTCTGAACGCAAAAGCGCGGGCGCAATAAATAAATAAATAAACGCGTGCACGGATGGCGCGTTAACAGGCTTGCGAGTTGTGTTGTGCTAACAATAACGGAAGCTAGCGGTGTAGCCTATGCTAATCTGAGATGCTGGGTAAGATGTATTTAGTAACTAGAAATGATGGTTCAAAACAGAAAGAAATACGAAGCTAATATGGGGTTTAGACGGAGCAGCGAACACACACACACACACACACACACACAGGAGCAGCAAACTCCACGTGGCCAATGGAAGCTCGTTTCCGACACGCATATAAATTTAAAAAAAAAGATACTTATATCTCACAATTCTGACTTTCAGAAACACCAAACCTGCATTAGCAACGCTACAACGCCATTGGTCCACTGCTTACTCCAGTTATCCAATCACAGTCTCTGATGAGTTTAGCTCACATGAGGTTATTGTTGCACTTCATGAGATTTACATAATAAATGTATTTCCAACAATTGTTTCCCATTTTTACATTTTTTATGCAATATCCCAAATTTGCACAACAACAGTTGGATGTAAACACGGCTAATGCGAGCTCTGTGTGAACAGTGTGTCTGATAATTGTGAAATGCATTAATCAGACACAGCAGGGGAACGCTGTACAGAAGCACATCGCCACAGGCTCACTAACCCCGCCTCGGGTCACAGAACAGGCCAGCGCTTCCTCATGCTTCACTGTTAATGAACGTATTTAAAAGGTCATATGAATAAGCAAACGAAAAACGCCTGAGATTCTGGATGAAAGTCACATATTTGACGAGCTGCTCTTGTGTTTCCAATTCCAGGTCAAAGGTGTCTCGACTCGAAGCGCACGCGTTCACTGCCAGCACATGTTCAGCCTAGTTTGGACTGTTCTCCAGCATCTGCACAAATGATCTGAAGTATCTGAAAGCAAACAGCCGTATGTTATCAGACAATTATTATTCAGAGGTTTATTTAGGAACATATGGATGCTGAAGACAAAACTTCAGTGCAAAAACAGATTCATTCAATTTGCACACAATATAGTCATGACAAAGACTTTAAAAAAGCATGAAATAATTGTCAGCAATTGCAGTATTTTACAGAGATGAGAAGAAACACTGATGTTCTGCAGCGACTGCTGTTTTTGCATAACAATCTCTCCAGACTCTCTCGCCTGAAGCCCTGCATGAAATTTTCATTGGCATTTGCTGAATAACAAACCCTTGTGTAAAAGAGGCTCGGGCTGTTGTTTCCTTCACTGAGTCACACATCAGAGCGATGAAGGGGTTGGCTCACGGTTTCCCTGCAGTCGTCGCCGGCTCTCGTGGAGATTCGTGTTAGCCGGCGTGGGCGGACAAACTTAAAGGGACTTTACAATATTGCACAGCAACTGGAGGGTAAATACTGTACACTTTGTGCTTTGAATGCATATGCCTTTTAGATCATGTACACACTCGGAAAAAAAAAATCAATAAAAACACATTTCACCCTTTTCCAGCATAATTAAACAAGACAGTCAATATAAATGTTACAAAAAATCTCCTTAGTATTAATTTAGGCAAAAAAAAGTGCAAAGATCTCCAGAATCGATATATGCAAGTCCACCAGTTTGATTTATATGTGTACACACAAATAAGAACACAACAAACCGATTGTCCCTTTTGCTCACAAGTGCTTAGAAATGATAAATAACTTACATCTTTAAGACGAGTGTCACTTTTATATTCACACAGAGAAATCATCCATCCACCTAACGACGTATTAAACTCAGGATACTGAAGTATGTAATAACACTTTTGAATAAGATATGCATCAGAGAATATGGTGAATCTCACAGATCACCCCAAAATTTAAAAAGCAAAAATGACAACAGAAAAAAGGATCATTAAGATTTGCTCTATGGTGACCGTAAAAAAAATTAAGCAATAAAAAAGTTGTCATTTTTGACCAAAATGGTTTTTTTTTTGAGATATCAACCTCAATATATTTGGAGCACAACTTGTTTAGATTTGTGGTTTTGAGTTTCTCTCAGTTTTAGAGTGAAACGTACTTAGGAAAAACATTTATTTCAAATGTATTTTTCACAACAATTAATGTATATTTTTATAACTAAGTTAACTTTTTTCACTTCCACAAAAAGAGAGCAAACTTCCTTCTGTGACCCAAAGCATTCAAGATTCACCAGTTTCAGTTCAAAAAGTGAATAAATGGGGGTAATTACTTTATAAATATAATTTAGTCCCATAAAATCCCCTAATATATGTATATATTTATTGAAATAAAAAACATTATTGAATTAAAATATAGTACAATTGTGGAAATTAAGGGAAAATGTGCTTAATTATCCAGCCAATAATGTCACAATGCATTCAAACAACGTAAATAAAAATAATAGTAATAAATATCAGCAAATTATAATGAAAATAATGAAAATCATTACAAATATAGAATCGTCAAAATATCAAAACAACAACTTTTCTTCCTTTTGAACTTTGAGGTGCACAAGATTCACGTTCATATCTCTTTTCTTTTTTGAAAGGAAATGAAGACAAACACACATATTTCAGAACTGAGTGAAAGTGGTCCGTTTCTCATGAACCTCCAGGTAGTCGGGCTCGAAGTGCAGCTTGGCTTTGAGCTCCCAGTACTGGCTCCGGCTGGGCTCGATGTAGACGGCGGCCGGCGGGGGGCAGAACATCACGGTTTGCTGGACCCGCTCGGGACTCAAGAACTGGCCCTGGACCCGCTCGGGACTCGAGTACTGCTGGTCCGAGTACTGGTGCTTGCACGCTAAACTCCCCCTGTACGAGCCCGGCTGGTCCCTGGCCAAGATCTCGCGGTAAAAGTAGTTGTCGTCCAGAAGCGATTGTGAGTTTAGCGTATCCGGCGTTCCCGCGCTGAACTCGGATCGGCTCCGGACTTCGTCATCCGAGTTGGACGCCAGAACTCTGAGTTCTTCGAAGTCCCTGTATCTCTCCATCGCGTTTCCCTCGGCGGTATTCTTCGCTAGGCTCTCGGCTGCCGGCGGGATGAACTCGTACACGTGGCCTGCCGACGATCTGGCCTTATCGCCGTAAATCGCACTGGCGTTTGCCGAAGCCAACCGCTCCGACTTCTTCCGCCGCTTCACTATAACGGCGAAAAGCCCTGCCGCGACAAACACGGATAATATAAAAAGCATCAGCAAGGCGAGAATCAGCACCGACAGTGGAACCGCGGGATTCGGCACGTCGTAATCCAAAGTCTCTAAAGTGATGGTGCTTCCGGGAACGGATTCCTCCGAAGGCGACGCCACGGACGACTGAACGTTTGAGGTTTCCGGGCAAAGTTGATAAGAGCGAATGAAGCGCATGTCTTCGCCCGAGAGCCTCGGAGGAGATTCGCACGCGACGGAGTTTAAAACGACCCCGGCGCCGAGTGTCTCCAGCCAGCTCCGCATCTCCACCACGGCACACGAGCAATCCCAGGGGTTCTCGAAGAGGTCGATCTGCACCAGATCCGCCAGGTCCTCCAGGACGGCGGCGACCGGCAGGCTGCGGAGGTGGTTGCCGCGTAGATTGACTCGCGCGAGGTTTAATCCGTGGAAGACGCCCGGGGGAAGAGTCTTGAGCAGGTTGTTATTGAGGAACAGGAGCTGGAGATTGGGAACCTGTTGAAAAGCGCCGCTCGCAATCTCCCGAATCACGTTGTACTCCAAGTATAAAAACTGCAAGCTTTGCAGCCCGTAGAACATATCCTCGGAGAGGCGCTCGATTAAGTTCCCGTTTAAGTACAGGCGTCTTAAATGTATGAGCTGGCTGAACGTCCGGTCTTGAACGGCGGATATGCGATTGTTTCCCAAGTGGAGCAAATCAAGTCCGGTCGCGCCGTTGAAGTCCGAGCTGCACACCGCGGAGATGTAGTTCCCCGTCAAATACATCTTTTTAGGGTTGTACGGCTTGGGGTCGAGATCCGAGATGCTTTCGATCTGCCTCTCCTGGCAGTTCACGTTCAGCCCGAGGTCTGAGATCTGCAGGTTGCAGGAGCAAGCGTTCGGACAGTCCAGGGGAACCGGCGACTTGGTCTGGAAGGCTAACATCGGGCCGTGGTTCTGCGGTTTGCTGGTGGAGCGAGCGGTCGGCTTAACGCGGAGCTTTCCCGGGGGTCGGCTGGTCTTAGTGGCGCGCAGGACTGTGGAGGAGGCGAAGCCCGGGGCCGAAGTCGCCGGTGTGGTTCTGTAGAGGATCTCGCCGCCGTGAGCCGGTTCCGCGCGCACGTCGTACTCGGCGATTGCTCTCAGAGGACACAACTCCTGCTTGGAGATCTCGTCCAAGTCTCGCCCGTGAAGTCGGAACGGCGTCTCGCAAACGACGTCTCCAACTAAAGCCGTGTAGGAGATGCTTTCGAGCCAGGCTTTGAGCGGGATGAGCTCGCAGGAGCAGTTCCAGGGGTTGTCCTCGAGCTGCAGCTCCACCAGCCGACTCAAGTGCTCCAGAAGCCCGCCGTAGGGAAGCACTCTCAGCTGATTGCCTCTCAGATCGAGATGCGTTAATGGAACGAACTGAAAGAGGTTGAGCGGCAGAGCGGAGAGAAGGTTGTCGTTGAGGATGAGCACCTCTAAGTGACGTAAAACGCTCACGGCTTTCGGCTCAACGTGGCTGATGTAATTATAGTCAATCTGCAGGTACTCCAGGCTATCGAGTCCGAGGAACGTGTCGTCCTTCAACGCTTCGATTTTGTTGTTGTTCAGATGCAGCCGCTTTAATCCCTGAAGTCCGTTAAACGCACCACCTTCGAACTCTGATATTTCATTGTTGCCCAGATGTAGAATACTGAGTCCCTCGTACTGAACGAAGTCGTTAAGCGAGACTTTCTTCAGCAGATTCCCCGTGAGCAGCAGATGATACGCAGTGAAGTGTAAAGGCATCACCTCCGCCAGACTGCTAATCCCTCTGTTCTCACAGCTGGCGGTGAAAACACCCTCTCTCTCTTCACACACACACAGGCCTCCACATATATCCCCGTAAATATCAAACATCTCAATCGACCTGAAAAACGTTGTGAAAGTCCATATGGCTGATATCCACATATGCATGTTCATGGCGATGTGTGCCGTCACCTGAGGAGAGAAAACACAAGCGTGTCAATCGTGCGACTCAAAATATCAAAACCACAAAAAACGACAAACTCGTACAGTGCATGCAAACTTGAACACATGCACTGAAATATTAAAAACTAAAATGGATATGTCATGTTGTTTTAGGAAGTATGCATATTGCAGTTACTAGTGCATTTTTCATGTTTGGCATTTTTAACACAAAAACCTGTATCGTCCACTAGTATAGAAAAGGCCATACAGGTGACAGAAGCGTTGCTAATTCGCTTATGCTTGTGTGCGTTCGCATTAGCTGGACCGCCTGAGAGAACACATTTATTGTTTTTAGTGTGCAAATTAAGCACCAGATTTTACAGATTTGAAATATGCATGCAAGCATCGATTCAGCACTTGATGCATAAAATAAATACATAATAATCACAATTTTACAGTTTTTGGTCACTTGCATGACTTGAAGTATTAGTGCCAAACACTTAAATATTAAGATCTAAAATGGTTTGTCCAATGTCCATTTTGTCTTTACTAGTGTGCGAACACAAAGCTGCGTCGCCACTTGATGCACAATGTAAAATGTGACGGCAGAAGTGAACAGTGTCTCGATCTATGGCATTGTGGAAGGGTTGAGATATAACTGCAGGTCAACCACTGCCCGCTGAACTTACACTAAAGCCCAAACAAGCGATATGCATGATGACACGTGTGTTACGCGAGACAAACGCCACTGCTTCAGTGCTACTGGGGTGTTATGAGGACCAGTCTACTATTATGTAAAATATAGTAGGCTATGATGGCTTCGGTCCTGCTTTACAGGGGACAGAGACACTCATTTCATAGAAGAATTGCTTATTTATTTATTTTAGAGTGTGCATGTTCATTAGCTGGATCGGTCTGGAAACAGACATGCTGTTTTTTTGTTTTTTTATATATATGTGAGCGATGCTGTTGACGAGTTATTCCTGATTTGAAATATGCATGCAAGCACTAATTCAGCATATAACGTATATAATAAATGCATCTCACTCACTACATAAGCATGCATATTATCACAACTAGCCTATATCTCTCACTATCACTGTCGTAATTATGAGTGGGAAACTGGAAATCTTTTTGCTACAGAAAAAGGTATTGGCATTTTTCTCTAAAGCATCTGATGTCGTAATTACGTGTAAATGTGAAGCTCCCAGAGGGACTCGGGTCAAGATCTTCACACTATAATTGCGTCGTCTTGTGTCTCGAAGTGGTTATTATTATGATTAACCATAACAATGTTTTTACGTTGAGCATTGTACCGATAACCTCACATTAGCCTAAATGAAGATTAATAATAATACATTTCTATGTAGTAACTGACATTTTTCTCATCTTTGAACTTATGTGGGAAAATGAAATTTGTATCAATATTTAAATCTCTATACGTACTTAAATTGCAAGTCTCCGTGTAACAAGCGCGATAACCGAGCGAACAGGGAACGTTCTGTCATGGTTCTCTCAACGTTATGAACAAACGTTCTTCCAGTGATAATACGTTGTTCATCGTTATACTAATCAGTCTTTTTTGGATTCATATTAGACCAATATACCTTTTTATCACCAGTCTGGAAGACAAATGCATGTATGACTAACGTTAGTCAGAGAAGGTCATGCAACAAATACCGTTCTAACGTCTAATGTTTTTTAAACATTAAAACATTCAGCGTTCAAAAGTAACATTTCCATAATGCATGTAAAATTATAAAACGGCACATTCTCTTAATTGTTTTGCTAACCTTTACATAAACAAGAATTTCCAGAGAACATTCGGAAACGTTGCTATAATGGGACCGTAATCGTTATCAACTCAACACGTTCATTTGTTAGCAGTGATCTCACAAAATAGCCTCCCTTGTTATCGTGAAGCAATGACTGTTCATCCCGCAGAGATAAACTGAATCAGAGTAAATGTCCAATAACGAGAGAAAAGTTGAACGCCGTTAAACGCCTCTCTCGGGCGCGCGCACAGGCACTCGCTCGCTGTGCATTTCAGGTGCACATGATCCTGATCGATGCACTATATTCAGACAGACATCACTATATGACACCCATTCGCTCGATGAGTTTGCCACTAACTTTGCCCGTCGATCGGTGTGAGATTCTCCGTCTTACCCGCCGGACAGCTTCTCATCGGGACAGATGCTCTCCATGAGGACGATCCGGGTTCACATGTTCATCGCG